CGTGCGCTCAGTTTAGTAATCCGTGCGCTCAGTTTAGTAATCTGTGCGCTCAGTTTAGTAATCCGTTCGCTCAGTTTAGTAATCCTTGCGCTCAGTTTAGTAATCCGTACGCTCAGTTTAGTAATCCGTGCGCTCAGTTTAGTAATCCGTTCGCTCAGTTTAGTAATCCGTGCGCTCAGTTTAGTAATCCGTTCGCTCAGTTTAGTAATCCGTGCGCTCAGTTTAGTAATCCGTTCGCTCAGTTTAGTAATCCGTGCGCTCATTTTAGTAATCCGTTCGCTCAGTTTAGTAATCCGTGCGCTCATTTAGAAATCCGTGCGCTCATTTAGTAATCCGTTCGCTCAGTTTAGTAATCCGTGCGCTCATTTTAGTAATCCGTTCGCTCAGTTTAGTAATCCGTGCGCACGGATTTCCAGTGGCTGTTTTTTTTTCTCCCACTGACCCCCGGCGGGCTCCGTACTTTCAAGATATCTGTAATTGAATTTGAACTAGTCAAATCTTTATTTATGATATCAAAAAGTACATTTAAGATATCTTAAATAATGATGCCATTCAAGATTTCTTTAATTGGAATTATGACTAGTCAGAACTAAAAGTGAGATATCTTGAAAGCAACTAGTGACTAGTCAAACCTAACTTAGAGATATCTCGAATTGTATTTTTGACTAGTCAAAATTCCTTATAAGATATCTTGAACTGAAGCCTCTGACGTCATTTATACTAATCAAAATGTAATTAGAGATATCTCAAATAGGTATTTTGACTAGTCAAAATATTATAATTAGAGATATATCTTAAATAACAAATATGACTAGTCATAACTCAGTTTCAGATATCTGGAATGGAAGTGTTGTGAATCCGACTTTATGCTAAAATGGCTTGCCATAAAAAGTTGACACCTAGAAATACCTTTTTCCAATTAGATTTCATACATTTGTTTTTACAGATGTTTAACATGTACAATTAAATCCAAATACGACACACTGACATGTCGAGTCTACTTATATACTACAGAAAATGTAAAAAAAAAGGAAATTACCCAACTTTTCTGAATTTGCATCTAAGAATCATTTTGTGCCAAATAATGCTCTGATATATTAATAACAATTATTACTGTAATAATAAGTAATTACTACTAAATAATAATAAAAGTAGACCTAATTACTACTGTAAAAGTAATCACCACTTTAACCACTGACATTTTATTACGCAGGTTTGTCACTTTATTATTGCTAACCCGTAAATGTAATCGTGGTGTTAAACAAAACTAATCGATTTGTGAGTTACACAGTTGTGTTTTTGAGTGAAACAGTATTTTGCTCATTGTTGCCATTGAGCTGGAAGCAGTGTGACCACGTGACTCCTCCAGCGAGGGCCTGCTGTTTGTTCAGCCAGATAGGCAGGCAGAGAAGAAAAAATGGCGGCCCTGGGCGAACCAGAACGGGACGCCGGGCTAACGTTTTGAGCTCTCGCATTCTGGAAGGCGCAGGGGGGGCTGCAACGGGGTCACGGCGTGATCCGCACCGGTTCGTGTGTGTGGTGTTACCGTTTTCGCTCGCAACCGTGTATGCCAAATCCACGCAAACGTCGGGATTGTAATATAATAGGTTTCGCCTATCATGAGAGGGAAAAGGGGCAGGCCGCCCAAACCGCTACAAACGGAGGATCCATCCCCAGCTTCGACCCGGGGCTTGCGACCCAGGAGGAACATAAAACCGAAGTTTAGGGACAGTGGGGACGAGGACGTCGAGAGCCCACAAAGGGAGACCYCAAAATCAGCCAAAAAGAAGAAAGCACCATCGACACGGGGCAGGGGACGAGGTAAAGGTGGCGGTGGTGGCAGAGGTGGTCGTGGTGGAAGGCGGACGGCTGTGCCCAAAACCGTGGTGTACGATGACCACGAGAGCGAGGAGGAAGAGGATGCTGTGAGTCTGAGGTCCGAGGAGGATGAGTTTGTCGAGGAGGAAGCCCAGTCCGAGGAGGATGAGGGCCTCAAAGAGGACTCTGACTGCCTAGAAGATGATGRGCTGGAGGAGGAAGAGGATGGTGCCAGCTTCTGCACAGAGAGCAGCTTTCGGAGCCACAGCACTCACGCCAGCACTCCGGGTAAATAAAGCTCATGATCAGAGCCCGGCTACAGTGAGTTAGCATGCCCTGCCGGGGTCAGGGAAAACCATATCTAATCTGAGTGAGCGATGCAGGAAGGAGGTTATTGTTCAAAATGGAGATTGCAGACTTTTTTTTTTTGAAAACAGGCCTCGTTCAGTTCAATAAAACASCACTGCAGGTGGATCAAAGCTAAACCTTATGATTTCTTCCTAAATCCCCATCGTAAAATATTTTACACACGTTTCTTAAAGAAAAGCAAAGGTAGCTAAGCCCAAATAACTTGGAATTTAGCATGCTAAYGCTAACAAGCATAACATAGCTATATGTTGCCTGCCATGTCAGTCTGTCTTTATTTAAGACAATGGCAAATTTATATGTTTTGTGTTCTCAGTTTTAACAACTTATTTGGTAGATAACGTTTTGTTAASAAGTGGGTAAACAAAAACTAGCAGCTAGCAATGTTAGCTTGGCTAGCATCTTCGCTGTTTTGACCACTTTTATTAGAATTTTCTTATCGAAAATCAATACATTTAGTAAGCACACTCTTTAACGAGGACAGGTTATGCTCTCTGGGTGCAGGCGCAAGAGATTTTACCCATTTGAACGCAATGTTGCTCGTTTGACAGCCAGCGTTTCCCCCTGCATGCCGGAGGATGAGCCTCTCATTAAGCTGTAATGACATTAGCCGGCATGTGCAGCAACATTAGCCAAAGTAGCAACAAAAAAGTTTGTCAATTTCAAGTTATCCTAGTTTTTGTTTTTAACTTGAAAACCTGTGAACACCTTTTTATATAGTAAACAGCACTGAAACAATTTAAAAAATCATTACTTATAATGACTTATAATGATTACTTAAAGGGCTTAGAACCTTTTATAAGAAAAACATATGCATCTTTTTTTAATTCTTTGAATAAATGGATATTAAAAACTTTTGAAATACTTTGAAACTATAGTACTGAAATGATCAAATAACTGTGTAGTTGTTTCTTTAAATGTAGATATTAAAAATGTATTTTTGGTTAAAGAGATCCAATTTTTACTTTACAAATGTTTTTTTGTTTTATGCCACAGGGAGAAAAAAAATGCGAGCCCCTCGCCCTCGCACTCCCACTCTCGAGAACAAGGAGATTCCTCCACTTGAGCTTCCAGAAACCTCCGAGGATCTTTTGGTGCCTAATGAAGAGCTGCTTAACATCACCTCCATCTATGAGGTGCTACGGAATTTCAGCACCGTGCTCCGCCTCTCCCCCTTCCGCTTTGAGGACTTCTGTGCAGCACTCATTGGCCGGGAGCAGTGCACGTTAATAGCTGAGACCCATATCTCCCTATTGAAGGCCATCCTGCGTGAGGAAGACTCCTCCAACACCACCTTTGGCCCTGCAGACCTCAAGGACAGCGTCAACTCTACTCTGTACTTTATTGACGGCATGACGTGGCCCGAGGTYTTGAGGTCTTACTGTGAAAGTGACAGAGAGTTTCATCGCGTTCTGCCACACCTAGAGACGGACGAGTATCCCTACGGTCCTCTTGAGAGTAAGATCAAGGTGCTCCAGTTCTTGGTGGATCAGTTCCTCACCACCAACATCGCCCGAGAGGAGCTCATGTCTGACGGCAGCATGCAGTATGACGACCACTGTCGCGTGTGTCACCGCCTGGGTGACCTGTTGTGCTGCGAGACTTGCTCAGCGGTCTATCACCTGGAGTGCGTGAAACCCCCGTTGGAGGCTGTTCCGGAGGATGAGTGGCAGTGTGAGGTTTGCGTGGCACACAAAGTGCCCGGAGTCACAAACTGTGTGACTGAGGCACAGAAAAACAGGCCTTAYATTCGCCAGGAGCCCATTGGATATGATAGACATCAGAGGAAATACTGGTTCTTCAATCGGAGGATTATTGTGTAAGTTAGGACCCTCATCGTCTTGGTAATTTGAGAAAAGGTATAGAATTAAGCTGAACCCGGACATGATATCAAAACCTGATTGATTGGTCAGGTTTTTGTTTGAAATACTAACAGCAGCGGCTCTCAAACCACTCCCAGCCTTCACCAAGTCTTAGGGCTGCAGTAGAGTAAGGCTGGGCCGACTGGAGCCGGGTCGAGCCAAGGCAAGGCCTTACAATGCAAAAAATGCCTAAAGTTGGTTTAATTAAAAAGAAAAACATGCACTGTAGCTAGTTAACTTCTAYTTCCCAAAATGTGGTCCTGTGGGTTTCTGCACGTATCCATCCTAAAATATAAAAGAGCTGAAAGTAAAACTAAGTTATGCTGATAATTTGTTGGCATGCAGATTTGACAAGCTTTCCACAAATTCCGTTTTTTGTTTGTCAAGTGGTTACAAAAGAGATTTATGGTCCAGGTCGTTTTTTTTTTTTTTTTTTTCTGGGCATGTGGTGCTTTTTAGGAATGCCCCGAACAGTTTTTGAACAATTTGGCTGTAATGCAGTACTGGATAATTTATTTTATATTCTCTGTTTATAAGTCCCTGTGTGTGTTTGGGGGTCGAAGTTCAGTGATTTAATTAAATGAATAAGCAGCTTTGACAGATAAACCTACCCTCAAACCAGTTCAGCACACACATTTTTTTTTTTTTTTTTGTTTGTCAAGTTCTCTGATTGTTTTATCTCCCAGTGTTGTTGTAGAGGAGGTGCTTGAGCTTCATCTATCGACTGGTCTCTCCACAGTGAGGAGGACGGGGAGCATGAGAAGAAAAAGATCTGGTACTACAGCTCGAAGGCACAGCTGGAGGAACTCATCGAGTGTTTGGATAAGGAATACTGGGAGACGGACCTTCATGCCGTCCTGGAGGAGACGAACGAGGAGGTGAAAGCTCACATGGACATCACAGAGGACCTCACCAACAGAGCTCGTGGCAGCAATAAATCTTATCTCGCTGCTGTCAATGGTATGGATTTTACTCACTCTCCATATAGACCAAAACAAATGTTAAATTTGTACTCCATCATCCATGCATAGAATGTTGTTCTGATAAAGATGGCAGATATTTGAGTGACAGTTGTGTTGATGTTCTCGTGAGCAGCAGGGTAACATTCAAACGTTTGTTTTAGATAATTCCCTCAGGCTTCACCACTCTGCATAGGTGACATCTGGATGCAGCTTTTTTTATTTTTCTTCTTCTAACGAGCAGAGTAGTAAAGTAACAAAGTACAAATACTTGTTTACTGTACTTAAGTAGAAATTTTGGTTATCTGTATTTTACTAGACTAATTATTTTTCAGTCAACTTTTTACTTCTACTTATATTTTCACAGAATTTTCTGTACTAGTTTTTACGTCTTACATTTGAAAAAAGATAGAAAGTGGGAAGTCTTTATTTCTATTACATTTTGACTTGTTTTCCTTCCGGCTTGTTTAACAAAAYGCCTGTCCAAATATATGGTGCCTCCAGGATAGAGTAAAATAACTGTAGTTGGATGAAGGTATAAACATATAYCATTTTGATGCCCTATTGATTTGTATGGTTCACCTCACCTGTACATGACAGAAATCACATCACACTCCACAGCAGGACAGATTAGAAGTGTGTAGTCTTGTATGAAGACGACCATGGCTGAAGACGACCATGGCTGAAACAGTTTAATTTAACATTATAGTCATTTGGAAAAATGTTTTAGGGAGGTCACTTCTCTACAAATGTCATTTTAGAAATTCTAACTTTTATTCAATACTTTTACTTTTAATATTTAAGTACAGTATATGTCAGATACTTTTGGACTTTTACTCAAGTAATATTCCTAGAAAACACTTAGTTTTACCAAAGTAATTTTATGGAAAGATACTTGTACTTTTACTCACGTATTAATTTGAGGTACTTTATAAGAACACTGCTTACCTCAGCCTTCCTCYAAGAAGTCAGGTTGTTAGGCCGTTGCCAGCTGTTTCCTTTTCTGTTTCAGGCTGTGGTATCTCTTAGGTTTTTCTGCCACACTTCCCGTTCGTGTCACCAAGTAGATTGATTCCAGTTCTTAAAGCAAGGTGCTTTGTGTTATTATAGCTGCGCCTGGAGTCTCTGGAGCTTTGAGTAGGTTCACTTCCACTGCATCCTAAAATATAAGAACTTTCATTTTAGCTGGGTTTTGGGTGTGAAGCAATAGTTGCGTTTCTACAGTAAAATATACTTTGATCATTTTACTTTGAAACGTACACAGTCAGCTGCTGTCAGTCACTGAAAAGCTTTTCTCTTGGTTGAGATGGATTTTCTCCCAACATATCTTTGTTTTTACTATTTAATAAAGTTAAGCTAGTGGTGAAATGGTTTCCCCCATGCTTTTCAACTTAAGTGTTGTCTTCAAATGTCTAGCTGTTGATGTAATTATGTAATTGTTGGCTATTGCGTTTGAAATTTAAATTTGTAGATGTGGTTCTGGAGCGGTTAAAGATAAGGCGAGTGGCGCAGGATGCAAAGAGGCGAGTGGAGGACAAGCAGGAAGCAGAGCGTGGCTCAGTAAATACAACTGAGGTCGATGCTCAGATCTCATTACAACCCGACAAGACAAAGGATGCAGCGAACGTGGGTGATGYTAACTCCCAAGGTAAAAGTTACTCAAATGTTTTGTTATGTCTTTTAAACTTTTAGACTTTTTTAACACATGTTGAAATGAAACCTCCTAACTTGRCCAGTGCTGTTTGCTCTTCCTGTCACTCCTCAGCAGCTGCTGTTCAACCTGCAGCAGAAGAGAGGCTCACATCAGATAASCCTGCCTCTGCTACCCAGGATGCAGCTGCACTAAAGACACAATCACTTGAGAAAAATGGTGAAGCAGAAGCTGATCGTTCTGGGAACCAAGACAGTGGAGAGTCTCCTCCACTAGGAAAGCAGGGAGCGACAGGTACGCTCGAGTCATYGGTTAATTATCCTGAAGTAGACCTGTCGCGATAACTAGTAAATCAATTAATCRCACCATAAATTAAAATGAGGTTCATAGTTTTTATTTTCCTACTTTTTTTCTTCGTGTCTTCCTCTTTTCTACTCCTTGGAGTAGAGAGGAGTCACGTATCTGCCAGGTTCTTGGTTTCATAACCTCTAGCCTGAGAGCTCTGAACAGGCCTTTAGAGGAGCGTCTTTGGTTTTCAGACGCCTTCTTTCAGCTGGCGTCGCCTCAGGAYGTCCTCAGAGCACCGCTCCTAACTTTGGGTTCACTAATTTTTATTTATTTTTTAACACTACGTAAATTTTATAAACTTTGTAAGCAGCATGCAGGTGAACACAATTATTTTATGAAGCCGGAGGAAGACACATGCAGAATAAATTGTGTCGGCTTGGATAGAGGAGGTGGCGAGAGATGTTACAGTTTATTTCATAAACTACTGTAAGCTTCCTAAGCAGCGGTGGTATATACTGTATATTACAAAAAATTTTATTGCTTAGTGCGATAATTTCCTATCCAGCAAATTTAATGGTGATTTGCCTTTTCTGATGTTCAACTTTACCTCTTTACCTCCTGCTGCTTTGCTGTACGTATAGTTTACCTAGGGCTGCGCGGTATATGTGGTAGACGGTAGAAACTGKATGAAGTTGGGAAATTTACCCTCTACCGTCCTATCGTCATTACGTCATCGCACCTGTGTCAGCATGGCTGCGAGTGCAGAGACAACYGAGCAACAGGAGTTTGAAATATAATGAAGAAATTCTAGCGTTTTAAAACACGTATAGACAGGATAAATCCTCAAAATTTCCTCCAAGTTACGTCGTGTCGCGGGATCATTTCCTTTCTCTCCTCTCCTCTCGCTGCACGTCGCACAGAGCGAAGCTTTAATAACCGCAGTTTTTCACACCCAGTTGTCGGAGAAAAACTTGTTTTTTAAGTATTGTTACCCACAGAGATGATTATAAAAAACGTGAACGTTCCCTCAGTCATAAATCCATCTTGCTAATGTAAAGTCGGCTTCTGCTCTGATGATGAAGATGAGYGCGCAGCGATGAAGATGAGAGCGCAGCAGGTGGAAGCTCATTGTTTGGCAGGCAGATATTAAAGCAAAAATACTGGGTTTGATTAAGATTAGCTTTCTGCAAAAAAAAAAAGCTCTAAAGATAACATTATCTTTAYTTTTTATGATAGTTTTCTACTATGATATATACACCGTTACCATGAAGGGATTCAGTTTATACCGTTATATGAATTTGAGGTCATACCGCCCAGCCCCAAGTTTGCTTGTATTATTACCTGTCCTCTGGTTATRATGTGTTGCTTCTCTAGTCAATTGTTTTTTGTTTATTTTTGTACTGAAGTGGTGTCCCTGGCTCATGCTCAGTTAGATGTTTGATACTAGACTGTGAAAATTACCACAATGACTAGAAAAGCTGTGCCACTAAAAATTAAATACCATAAATGCTAAAAATGTTGTACAGGTAAAAAGTGTATTCTGTTGATATTTAACTGATCTGGGTYCAGTCAAGACATTTTTTTGTCATTTAAAGGAACCCTACTATAGTTGTTTGAATAAAAGCATTTATTTTTTCTGTGTGTTTATCTTTGTGGTTATCTTCAGATAACATCTAATTAGTTGGTAGGAGAATGAGCCGATAAGAACTTCCTAATCTATATGAAGCCTTTTTCATCTTTATGTTTTGCCTTATTATCTAAATCAGCCATTTAGTTACTTGTCCTTTGCTTCATATTGTYTCCTGTGTTCTGTGGACCTGTGAAGCTCATTTTTGGCACCATGGTCGATGCTTCTTTGGCAGCAACTCCTCYCTCCACCATGTTTGCTACAGGCAGACCCTTTTTACTCAGTCCAATTTATGGACATTTGGGTGGGTTCCTGAGGCTCAAAGGGCCCTCTGCCTGGAAGCTCCACCTGCTACCCTGCTAACAAAGAGTTGTGTTTATAAATACTGGGAGAACCAGAGTCTTACTCTGGTTTGGCAGCARGTGTACAGCTTGGTTGTTGTGTTGACAAAATTTGACTTACATAAAGCAAGAATAAATATCTATTTAATGGGCATTTTTATAGACAGAACTTACAGCTTATTATTAGTCATGACTACAGTTTCTCTGTTGTGTTTACCTAAGTTTTTCTTGCTCTATTTTAATTTATTTAGACGTGAATCAGAAATCTGAATCTGGTAGTGAAGTTGCACAAAGTGACGACTCGTCACCAACTCAAGATCAATCACAGCAGCGATCGTCTCAACCAAAGGCAGCTGGTGACGGTAGCCAGGTTTCTGGTTCTGATGGTCTCCGTAAGCTGGAACCACCCGATCAAGCTGACAGGTCGTCCCAGTCCTCTTTCACCAGCCATGATGGCACGGGTAAGCATCTACACTYGACTCAGGAATTAAGTAGTGTCTATTTATTGTTCTGGTACTGATGTTGTCATCTGGATGTTTGAATGATAGATGAGTATAACGAACGGATCAGGAATGAAAAAACAGCTGAACAGGAATCCAAAAACCAAATACACAGAAGCAGCAAAGAGGTACGGCAACGTGGTGGATTTTAAAACTAAGAAGTTGCTAAAATGTAAAATTGTCCTTTTTGTGTGACCTRAGTCAAATAATATTTGCTGAAATTCCTATATTTTGCATACAGCATCTAAAATTCTGGTGTTGGCATAAAGTCCTGCTTTATTATGCAAAAAAAAAAAAAATCATAAATTAAAAAAGACTGAGTTCACCTGCAACTCTTCAGACTGAAGAAGTCTCTTGGAGGAGAAACAAAAAAGAAACCCATCCAGAGGACCTACTTATTTTTTCTTTTTGTTTTTTTTTTAAAAGAGTTTGTTCTCTTGAGAGCACTGTAYCAGTCTGACTAATGAACACACTAAACAGTCATCATTAAAGTAACAATTCGTGTCTGCGCTTGTGTTTCAGTCATCTCCTGTCCGTTTCACCGGTGACTCCACACGTCTGAGCTTCTTGAAAAGGGACCTGGCGGTAAATTTAAACAACTTGTTCAAACTGGGTCAGGAGGGCAAGTACAGGGTCTACCAGAACCATTTCAGCACCAACGTCCTGGCGCTCAACAAACATCAGCACCGGGAGGATTACGACAAGAAGCGCCACCTCTCCCACAAGTTCAGCCTGACCACCGCCTCAGAGTTCAAATGGAACGGCTCCATCTACGGGTCGCGGAGTCTGACCGTCTCCACCATTCGGCTCACCATCATCCAGCTGGAAACCAACGTGCCGGGTCCTTTTATGCATCCCAACTGGGCATCGCACAGGTACAAAGCAACAAGATCTCTCTCTCTTTTTTTTTTTTCTTTCACTCAACAGTTTCACTCCACCAGAAAGCCAACTTCTGACCCTTTATGACCTCAATCTTGTCCACGGCAGAGCAAAACTACAAAAACTAGACCTTAATCGGGTATTGATGTACACCCAATGATTACTTTCTAATATTAAAATCCATACAATGGTTTATGAGATGTTTTGCTAACAGAGTCAAAAAACTTAAACACGAGCAGTTACAGGAATACCTGCCTTATATGGCAACAAGCATTAAAACGAGAACAACGTGGGCGGCACAAAAGACAGAGAATATGATGGTGATTGAAGCGTTGTCACTGCCTGATCGGTCCCAGAAGCACGATCCATAATCAGGCAGGGACACTCCGTACCGTCAGCTCATCTGCACATGYGCTAAAAGAAAYGCTTCTGGATCCCTGATTAATGCACTCAATTTAGGAAAAAGTGTTGGAAAAAATGATTTCCATCCTTAATTATAAAGGTGTGCTAGATTATATCTGAACAGTTTTAATAGAACATATTTAATACACATTTTGATATTAATAAAATGTAGATTTATGAAGCGTACATATTTATTTATATTAATTAAAATGTTGCTTGTTATAAACTGACCTATTTTTCTAGAAAATATTATAATTGCCTTAAATAATAATAACCTTTATACTTGGAAGATATATAATTCAGTAGAAACTTGTTTAGATTTCAAATATTTCTTAATTGTTTCTGTCATTAAGCAGTCTGAGTCTAGTGAAAGGCTACATGGAAAAGAACAAACAAAGCCCTCCTGGAAGTWTTTTTTTTTGCACATGCACAAATGCGCTGATGGTACGGATCTTTTCTTCCAGGATAGATCAGACAATGACAAGCATCACCACAGAGAGGACGCAGACTTATGTCCAGTTCCCTAACTGTTACAAATTAAAATAAAGAAATATTTTGGTTTTTGCAAAAGACAAAATGTGATTTTCTGTTTTAATCATTTATTGTTTTTGTTTTGTAGGACCAACTGGAACAAAGCAGTGCAGATGTGCAGCAAAGCCAGGGAATTTGCTTTGGCTTTGGCTATTTTGGAGTGTGCAATCAAACCAGTGGTTATGCTGCCTGTGTGGAAGGAGTCTCTGGGACACACAAGGTAATAGACACGCGCGCACGCACACACACACACACACACACACACACGAGCATTAGCCAATTTGTTTTATGTTCTCGCCCAATTATGAGTGTTTGTTTTGCATCAGGTTACATCGTATGACCTCGATGGAGCGGGAGGAAAAGGAGAAGGTGAAAAAGCGCGAGAAAAAGCTTGAGGATGAAGAGATCTTGCAGCAGGCCACATGGGTGAAATACACCATCCCCATCAAGCATCAGGTAAAATACCTGCAGCATTCAGGGCTGCACATTACCATGAAAGGTTWGATTCCTAATTTTTGTGTCTTTAATTTTTTAATTTCTTATTTTTCCCCTGAAGGTGTGGAAACAGAAGGGCGAGGAGTATAGAGTGACTGGATATGGTGGTTGGATCTGGGTCAGTAAGACTCACGTGCCCCGTTTTGTTCCAAAACTACCAGGAAACACAAATGTAAACTACCGTAAAGAATTAGAGGGTAAGAGCTCAACTTGTTTAATTTCCTTAATTTTTAATAAATGTATACTCTGGAACTTTTGGGGTTCTGATGCACATTTTGTGTTTACTTTTAGCTAAAATGAATAAAGAAAATTCTGTAGTTAATACRAAAAAACACAAAGAGATGACGAAATGCAAGAAGGAGGCCACTCGGATGGAAGAAGTCAAGGAAAGCTCACTGGCCACTGAATCGTCTATGGTCACTTCCTCGACTGACGACAGTAAACCTCAGACCACCAAAGAGGAAGAAAAGCCTCCAAAAGATGAGCAGGAAGTTGCTGCTGAAGATAAGAGTGTAGATGAAAAAATGGAGGTTGACTCCAGCCTGTCTGCTTCAGCTGATACAAGAGGTAAATATTTCAAATGAATTCTTTTGCTCTTTCTCCAAAGCTTTACTTCTGTCATCCGCTAACATCTGGGATCCCTTTTCCTAGAAAAAGCTGAAAGCAACGGCCCTTCTTCAGCCACTGCGCATCCCGTTGGAGTCGAACCTTCTCCGGCACCCGAACAAACCAAAAAGGAYGAGACGGCAGCGTCGAAGATCTTTTACGACGTTGTGAACGTCAGYGAGGGCTTCCAGCTGAGGACAGCTTATAAGAAGAAGGTGAAGCCGTCCAAACTGGATGGACTCTTGGAGCGTCGGGTAAAACAGTTCACCTTGGAGGAGAAACAGAGACTGGATCGGATGAGACAGGCAGCCGCCTCGTCTAAAACAGCAGCCACAAAGCCCACGTTCGGGGTTAAGACTGAAGGAACTGCATTAAGCAAACAGCAGCCTGCTATCACCTCGGGTGTTAAAGCAGAGGAGAAGGAGGAGAACCAGCAAGTGAAAGACCCTGTGGTGAAAAAACTCGACTTCGAGCAGGAGGATACAAAGACGGAGAGCGTGGACATCAAATCAGACCCTGAAATCAAGGAGGAAGCCTGTACCAATGAAGAGGTGAACGGAGAATCTGAGCTCAGCTGTCAGTCAGAGAAGACTGAACCCAACGAAAAAACCCTGAATCAAGAAGTTCCTCAAAAACCTGAGAACCCTAAGAAACGGGGCTATGATGAAATGGAGCAAAGCAGCGGCAAGAGCGACACAGAAAACACAGAGGAAACTCAAAGTAAGAGCGGCCCATCACAGCTGAATGGAAAAACCACAGCAGTGGACTCAAACAACTCAGAGCCCGGGACTGAAACCCTGGGTGTGGTTTCAGATCCAGAGAAGGAGCCGGTCAAGTCTCTGATGAATGGGAATCTGTCCCAGAATGAGTTTTCTAATGCAGCTCATCCTCCTCCTCTCAAAGTCCCAAAGTTGGAGAACCACGTGGGAGAAGAAGGAGAGCCTTTAAATAAGAGTGACAGTGTGATGACGGACTGTGAGGCTCTGGTACCAGCGAAGCTCCAACCGTCCAACACTTCCTGCCACATTAGTAATAACGCAGACGTTTGCACTAACCGTGACGGTGTAAAAACCTCCATCAATAATGTCTCCTCAAAGGAGCCTCAGAACGCTCTAACGCCTGACACATCCAGCAGTATTAGCAAGCYCGGTGTACCCTCTCAAGGAGAAATGAGCTTGCCTTCATCTGGTACCGGTCCCAGCACCACCCAGCCCGGTGTTGAAGCAGCTGGCTCCCAGAAGAGAAAACTTAACGAAGCCAAAGCGGGACCCTCGTCAGGCGGCTCCATGATTAGCAAAGAGTACTCCACTAGAGACAGAGTGAGCCTTCTCAGGTTCTCCAAGTCAAAGAAGGCCCGCTCGGGAACAGCACTGCCGTCCTACCGTAAGTTTGTGACCAAGAGCAGCAAGAAGAGCCTTTTTGTCCTCCCAAACGATGACCTGAAGAGGCTGGCGAGGAAGGCGGGCATTAAAGAAGTGCCCATCTTTAGCTACAACGCCAAGCCAGCGTTGGATATCTGGCCCTACCCTTCACCTCGGCCCACTTTTGGGATCACGTGGAGGTYGGTAACGAGCTTTATTGCACATTTGGAATAATTAGGATAGCTCAGCCCTTTTGAAAGTGGAGTTTGTAAGGAATCTAAAACTTCTCGTGTGTTTTTCTGACCCTTCAGGTACCGTCTGCAGACTGTGAGGTCTCTGGCAGGTGTTAGTTTGATGCTGAGGCTGCTGTGGGCCTGTTTGAGGTGGGACGACATGGCTGTGAAGCCCTCCGCTGCTGTGGGGACGACACGGAAAGGTGAGAAGTTTGGAAACAAAAACCTTCCAGGTTTGTGTCATGGATCAATTTGCCTCCTTTTAAATGAACTTGATATTAAATTGCATTTCACTTTAAATAATAATGTACTGAAGAGTAAAATATTTGCATCTTTAAAACCTGGGAATTATCATCAGCTCCATACTTTGATTCATTTTATGATGAACTCATTTTTTAAACAACACACAGTTGTTATGTCTTCATCAACATTCTCTGTAATAAATGTGTAATCCTGCAGCCAGGAGGTATCACACATCACTTTATCCAGCTAAAATCCTGTGGAAATTTGAAAATTGTAGATATTCACATTAACTATGAACATCTGAGAGAGTGAAAGTAACAGTCTCACAGAGAAAACTGTTTTTTGTCTTTTGGGGAAGAAGGCATAAAACGTAAATGTAGACACACGTAGGCTGTTGTCTTAGTCATACAAATCTACGTCTTTCTGTGTTAATAATTTTATTCAAGARCTAAAGCAACCAAGACAAACAGGCTGTGCTTTGATGGCGGCTAACCAGCTGTTAGCTCAATGCTAGCTAATTGTTCCCAAACACCTCAAAATCCTCCACCTCCCTGACTGTTGCCTGGCCAGGGGATCAAATCGATTCAGAGGATTTTCTGAATTGATATTGAATGATAAAAAAATGTGATTAATTAAAATAGTTTTGTTTTGTTTAGAAACCACAGACACAGACATCATCACAACAGAGATTATAAAGAGGAGAGATGTGGGGCCGTATGGCATCCGCTCAGAGTACTGCATCAGGAAGATCATCTGTCCCCTCGGAAACAGAGACACTCCAAAAGGTAAAAAAATAATAATAATAATAATAATAAAGTTTGCTTGGAACTGATGCAGGATTTAATTAGTTTATATGACTTATTAACTTTCCATGAACAGAAACCCCAACCCCACAGAGGAAAGGCCTGCGCTCCAGTGCCCTGAGGCCCAAGAAGCAGGAGCCAGCCAAGCAGACTGGGCCTGTGGCTGTGGAGACCTGGATACCTGAAGAGGAACTGGAGCTTTGGGAGATCCGAGCTTTTTCAGAGAGGTGGGAACCTCAACAAACATGCGCCAGGTTCCACGCACACGTCGGGATGTATCAAAACAAACGTTGTGTGGTGTGTGAATATACACACACATTGTACCCGCTGTGAAAGTATCCTGACAGCAACGCAAACCTTTTCAATCAACAGTTTTAAACCACAAARTACTGAATGTTACCTAAATACACAGAAAAATGACTTCATTCAGTTTTCTGGATGTAAGGAGAGTCTAAACATGATGGGTTCTTTGTTTGTTTGTTTTGTTTGTTTGTTTGTTTTATCTTTTATGATTCAAACCTGAATGATGAAACTGAACCACATTTAGGTCGACTAAATGCAGTCAGTCCATGAGCCTTTTGTCTCTACACCAACTTTTAGTATTAAAGCTGTACTATTTGATACATGAGGCCCCAAGTCRCCTTTAGGTTTTTCTTTAGTTTTACTGTTTCAAATGGAGTTCAGCAGATTTTTACCTTTTTAAATTTGTGGTGTTACAGAGTGGAAAGGGATAAGGCACAGGGTTTAGATCCTGCCAAGGCCAGCAGCACCCTGAAAACAGCAGAGGAAGTGAAAGCCCATTTGGAGAATCAGCTGAAGCAGGCCAGACTGGCTGCCCAGCAGGTGGGAACACATCACACTTTAACCCCCTCCACCCCTAAAACTTCCMAGTTTAACAGTTTATTAGAAACCTAACTTATTGTTTGTCTGTTTTTAGAAACGTCTGGAGCAGCAGAAACTGAGCACAACCACCACCACTTCCACAACCACCACCACCACCACATCAGCCAGCTCTCCCRGCACCCCGACCACAACAGGCCTGAGGACGGGTCCATTGACACCTGGAACCAAGATGGCCCTGTCCTCCAAGCTGGGCTCCTCGGTGTCATTACAACAAGACAAGAACTTCCAGCAGTCGTTTGCCTCCTGGGTGAAACAGGGCCAGAACAACAGCAGCAGCAGCAGCAGCAGCAGCAGCAGCACAGGTGAGCAGGTGCAAGACGAGTCATCCATTAAAAACAATGGAGTTAAAATTGTATTTTGTTTTGCAGTTTTTAGTTTCTGTTACCTCGGTTTCTCTATGTGTACAGCCATGCAAAACATCACTGAGTCTTTTACAACTTTTATATTGTAATTCTCATTCATATTTACAATGGGCTTCTAAATGATCATAGAGCTTGTGGTGTCCACTTTCAGTCAGTGAAAGTTCAGAYGTACCAGCAGTTATACAAAAAACAGACAAGTCATAAAACGGCACAAAAATGTATTTTCAAATAAACCATAATCAGCATCTGATAAGGCTTCAAAAGTGAAGGAAAAAAGTTTTAAACAAGATTTGAGGTGATCCATAAACCTAGGAGCTGCAGCGGAGAAAGCCCCGCCCCGCTTTTGACCAGTCTAACTGAATGTATGTGATGTATTTCCTCATCCCCAGGTGGAGGTCAGCAGAAAGTTATGGGTATYTTCCCTCATGGGCCCCCTGCCAACCTTCGGACGTACAGCACGCTGCATCCTACGACTGGAAACATGAACCTCAGAACTGCTTCTTCTGCCTCAACCACTCAGCCACAGGTCTTCTCTCTTCTGACCAATCAGTGTGGAAGTAATGAACCTGTTTGCTCACAGTCTCACTCCTGTTTTGTTTGTCAGGTGACAACAACGGTAGGACAAACTCAGCCTGGAGCAGCTTCTGTTCCTGGAGGCACAGTAGTCCGAGCTCCAGCTCAACAAGGTCTTCTGTCCAACTTTTTACTCTCAGTTAAAAGTCTTTTGGCTTTTAAAGCAAATAAATTACAACAGATCTTTTTTTTTTTCTACTTCAGGTCAGTCTCAACATGCACCTGGGACTCCTCCTGCTCTGAGAGCAGCAGCTCCTACACCATCAACTCCTTCTGCCACCMCCGCTCCCGTTGCTTCATCTCAGCCCCAAAGACCACAGCAGGGTCAAGTAAAACTCACCATGGCTCAGCTYATGCAGCTGACACAAAGCGCTCAGGTAAAGATTGCTTTCTGTTATTTTATTTTATTATTTTCTAACTAAAATTACTTTTTTGTAACTCTGAGCTCTATTTTGTGAGTGTCGTCTAATCAGTTGTGGTCAAGATTGTTTTTGCCTGAATCTCCGCAGGGAGGCAACCCAGGTCTGACGGTGGTAATTCAGGGTCAAGGCCAGACCCAGGGCCAGCTTCAGATCATCCCACAGGGCGTTACGGTCATCCCAGGCCCCGGTCAGCAGCTCATGCAGGCAGCCATGCCCAATGGCCAAGTCCAGCGCTTCCTTTTCACTCCTTTACCTCCGTCCTCTTCAGCTCCTGTTTCGGCTCCTGCTAACGCGACCCCTGCCACGACCCAGACCCCTCAAACCCAAATGTCTTCTCCAACTCCAGTGCGAGCCGTCGCACAAGTTCAGACGACTCCATCTTCCTTAGCCCAAACACAAATGACAGCCCCTCTGCCTGCACCCATACACGCTACAAGCCCGTCGCCGAAGCTAAACGTTGCCTCGAGCCCCGCTTCAGTTCAAACCCAAGTCGCAGCACCCGTTCCCCCTGCAGCTCATGGCTCTGCACAAACACAGCTTTCACCCACATTACCCATCCCGGCGCAGCCACAAAGATCGGCTCTGTTGCCTCATTTTCCACAACCTTCCTCTCAAGTTTTACCCTCTACACCGCCTTCAGCTCTCACATCGCCCCAAGCTGCTTCCTCTGCTCCTAATTCAGTCCCGAGTGTGAYTCAGACACAAAATCTCACCTCATCCCCTGTTCAAAACCAAGCCCTGCCCCAAGCCCAAGTGTCCACCCGCCCACAAGCTTCACTTCCTGCACAATCCCAAACTATAAGTTCACCACTTGTACCAGGACAAGCTGTCCTCCAAAGCCAAGTCCAACCACAGTCCCGCAGCCCCGCCCCACGGTTAACTTCAGCCGCTGTTCAGATGCAGATTTCTGCTCCCACTCCTCTGTCCCCCATGTCGGTTCCCCAAGTCACTGCAGCAGCAGCAGCCACTAACTCAACTCACCTTCCCGTCTCCGCCTCACTTCCTTCACCCGTCCAAGTTCCAACCCCCGCCTTGGCACCCATCTCTGCTCCCGTCATAGCTGTTGTGTCGACCCAAATTGCCGTCCCACCCCCGGCCAAAGCTCTAACCCAAATACAAGGTGCAGCTTCTGCACATCTTCACGGGGTTGTGGCAAGCGCTGTCGTCACACCGGTCACAGCCACCTCCACTATACCTTCAGTGCCAGGTAAGGTTCTGTCCACAGCTGGAGACATTCAGTCACTAGAGAGAAAAAAAGTCCTTTAATTCATCTCCAAACATCATAATAATGAAAACTCCAACCATGCATTTACACTGCGTCTGCTTGGCTCTGGTGTGTAGCACAGAGGTGCTCTGAGAAGCATGCACAGGAAGTGTGATATTGTGCAATAAATCCAGTGATAACTGTGGAAGTCAGAAAAAATTAATTCATTCTGTGGAAGATGGACTGAAATCAACAGTTAAGACTGCATCGCTGTTGTCTTTTTTTTTTAAATCTATATTCTAAAATAAAATCCACACTTTTTGTGTGGATGCRTATACTGCATGTTCTGCATCCCAAACAGAATGATACATTTTGATGTGTGTATAAATATACCCACATATTTGTCAATGTAACTAGGATTTTGACCAAATGTAGTTTGTCTTTGGTCAATTATTTTGAAAATACAGAAGCTGTGCTCATTCTTTTTCCTGTTGGTGCGGTGTGATCTTTGTAGATGGACTCTGCACTTGCTCCGCTGTCCCGTCAAAAATGGGATCAAATCAAATTTTGTCAGAACACTAGGCACACGTTGCCACACCTGTGGATGCAGTGTAAATGCTCTCATTGATTATAATGAGTGTGGTTTTACTGCAGATATTGGGGCGGAGCAGACACAGTGTAAATTGGGGGTAACTGAAAGATGCTGGGCTTTCTCCTCCTGATTGTATACTTATCACTGTCCTGTAGTCATTTACATTCTTTAACATTAATTTAATCTCCTTTGGTTCCTTCTCTCTYTTGTTATAGCTCTGATAGAACAGAAGGCAGCTCAGCCCCAAGTCTGGACTCCAGTCTCCTCTCCAGTTCAGACGGCTCATCAGGCATCAGCTCCAGTCACACCGCCTGCCTCTGCACTCGGCTCTGCTCCTGCATCAGCCTCCACACACTCGCCTGGTAATCTTCTGCCTCAAACAWCTCTGACTCCTCAGTCTCAAGCACAAGTCCAGCATCCTGCTGTGATGTCGATGCAGCAGGTGTCCCATATGCCGGTCTCAGCAGTGCAGGTTCACGTGAAGGGACTACCAGTGTCCTCTGTCATGTCTACTGTGAGACCCACGCAGCCTCARCTGCAGCCCCAAACCCATGCTCCGATTCGGCCCCAGACACAAGCTCAGATCTGTGCACAGGTCCAGGTCCCTCCCTGCGGTCAAGTGCAGCAGCTGCAGCACATTCAAATGCATCCTCAAGTGCAAGCTCAAATTCAGCCCCAGGTCCACGTTCAGTTTCAGCCACGGGCTCAAATTCAGCCTCAAACTCTACAGTCAGCTCATGCTCAAGTACAACCCCTCACTCAGGTCCAGTCCCCACCTCAACCCCAGCCAAGGGTCCAGCCTCAGTACCTCCCCCAGGTACCAGCTTCATTTCAAACGCAGCCACAAACACAACCTCAAGCTCTGCAGCAGCCTCAGGTCCAGTCTCAGGCTCAAACTCCACTTCAGCTACAGCCCCAGATCCAAACCCAGCTCCAGCAGCCGAACCAGATTCAAGCTCAGGCCTCGCAACAATCCCACGTTCATATTGCATCACACGTTCAAACTCAGCCCCAGTTTTCAGTCCAGTCCCCACCACAAACCCAAGTTCCAGCCCAGCTTCAGGCCCAAGCCCACAGCCAAGTCCAGGCAAAGCTCCAAGTCCAGTTCCAACCTCAGAACCAGTCTCAAGTTCAACCCCAGCCTCAGCTTCAGGTGCAGTCTCCAATCAGGCATCAGGTAATCACCGTTTCAGGCCTCCAGCAGCCGGTCCAGCTACTCTCAGCCCTGCCGCCTCACATCGCCTCCCAGATCCAAGCCCAGATCCAGGCACAGGCCCAGCAGCAGGGCGGCGCCGTTCCCCAGCAAATCAAACTGCAGCTACCTATCCAGATCCAGCAAACRGGAGGTCAGATACAAGCCCACCAGATCCAGAACATGGTGACCATACAGGCACCTGCAAACGTTCAGGAGCAGCTTCAGAGGATGCAGCAGCAGCAGCAACAGCAGCAGCTACAGCAGCAACAACCACCACCAAAGAAAAAGAAACACCTTGAGGCTAAAAGGGAACCAAAAGAGACGAATCTACAGGTGGTCAGTCCCAAGGATGGCATCCAGAAACAGGTGCTAATAAAAAGAACAGCAGTTGTTCATTATTTATTATTGTAAATATCAATTAAATGTTTTTAAATGTCAGGYGGGAATGAAGCAGAATTCTTCAGCAGAGCAGCAGAAACAGAGGAAGAGTCTGGCTGCAGCAGAGCGGGAGGAGAACCAGAGGTTGGTGTCTTATACACCTAAAGTATGACTCTGTGGCATCATGCTTTAAAAACCTGATGTTAAAGCAATAACTTCAACCTACTAATGATTAGCARCTAAACCAAATGAAGCTACAGCTCAGCTTCTGCTTTCTGCTTTCAGAATGATTGTGTGCAACCAGGTGATGAAGTTCATCCTCGACAAGATCGAGAAGGAYGAGAAGCAGGCGGCTAAGAAAAGGAAGAAGGAGGAGGTGGTGGAGCAGAAACGCTCCAAGCAGAACGCCACTAAACTGACCGCGCTGCTGTACAAGCACAAGGAGCAGCTGAAGGCTGAAATCCTCAAGAAGAGGGCCCTGCTGGACAAAGAGCTGCAGCTTCAAGTCCAGGTCAGATTTTTGTAGACATTAGATGTGCAACAATGTCTTATTATTATTAAGACTTTTATTAAGTCCTTATTATATTAGGACAATCATCAGAGAATTGAAATTATCTGATGMATTGTGTTTACAAATACAGGATTCACGCAGATACCTTAATTAGTCTTAAAAAGGCTTAAACCAATCTTTCAGAGGTCTTAAAAATGTTAACACATTTTAAGTGTAACTCCTCACAAATATTAAGATAATTGGTAACATTTATTGA